CTCCTCGTGACCGACTGGTTGGTTTTGGCCAGTAAAAAGTCTTGTCAATTTGTTCCCTACTCAGCACACGGAGCATGTGACTGGGAAAACGCACACAGCCAAGTGTGGCGTCGTCACATCTTCCCAGCCATTATGCCCGCATACGCCCCCACAATATAAGACTACAAAGGTACGTACTGAGGGATTAAAAGTATTGTAACTTATTGTCTTCCTGAGAGGGTACGTAAGTCCCAAAACATTCAAAGTAAATTTAAACTAACCACTGTTTCAATCGTATCCTTTTATGGAAGGCTAGATTTGTCTAAATTGTTAACACCTGAAGGGATGGTAAACCAAGCTGGGTTCCATGAATGTAGCAAAGGTACTGTAAGTCCCTATGGTCCCTAGTATGGTGATATACCTTCACTTGTTGGCAATCTATAGCCTGTTTTTTTATATTGTCTTGTCATCTATACAGTTAGAGTTTCTTTAAGTGAGGTGAGGTGAAATTGGGATTAACGTCGTGCTTGAAAATATTTCGCTCATATGACGATGTGCATGCGTGTGTATGTGTATGTGCGGCTGCTTGTACTAGCCCAGACTGAAGCTGGTTTTATAGTGCTAGGCCACTGAGATACCATGCCGCAGTGAAGCATGAATACCCCACTCAGACACAGTATACTGACTCCGAGCCGACCAGTCCTTGTTGCACCTATTAATGCCGAGCGCCAGGCAGGGACCAACAAGTACCATATTTAAACGTCTTTTGTTATGACGCGGCCGGGGATCGAACCCCCGACGTTCCGCTCTCCGAGCGGACGCTCTAACCACTACACCACGGAGGCGGTCTGAGTTTTTTAAGACTGTTTTACTAGTTTTAAATATATATCTATGATAAACTATTTTTGGGGTTTTTTTTACTGTCCTTCGTTGACAGCTCTTATAACTTTAATTATTATGAATCTATAAGTTGATATAGCCACGACATGGCTGAAATACTGCCGATGTGACTTAAGATCTTAACTCACTCACAACTCGGGCCGTATACTCCCATAGGGACTGACAATTGCCGGCGTAATAAAGGGTTTTGAACGTGATATTTTGCGTTGAAAAATGTTATCATTATGATATACCAGATGATGAATTCGATTGGCAATGAGGAGTACCCGCCAGAAACCAGTATTTTCTATTTAAACTATAACACATGTTTGGCTGGGTGGTCGGAAAACAATCGTTCGGCTTTTCCTTCCATGAAAAGATGTGCCAAGAGCAGTAAAGATTTTCATTGAACATAAATCCTAGTCCCCTTCAACGGGAATACTATATTTACTGTCCTCAATACAGTACTCGCCTGAGCAGTTCCTCCAATATGCTGGGGTGGTGGGTTAGCCTTCTGTGAGTGAGTTCAGTTGTACGCCACACTCAGCAATATTCCAGCTATATGGCGGCGGTCTGTAAATAATCAAGTCTGGACCAGACAATCCAGTCATCAACAGCAAGACCACCCGAGTCCCGTTAGTCGCCTCTTACGACAAGTATGGGTTGCTGAAGATCAATTCGAACCCGGATCTTCACGGGTCGTGACTTGTCGTGTCGTGTCGTGACGAACATATGGAAGGAGTAGGGTTTTAGCAATATTCCAGCAATATCACGACGGGGACACCAGAAATGGGTTTCACAGATTGTACCCATGTGGGGGTCTTTTGCGTGATGAGCGAACTCTTCAAAAGCTGGAATAATGCTGAGTGCTGCGTAAAACTAAACTCACTCACTCTTCACGACACGTCGTTATGACGTAGAAATACTGTTAAGGAGCGTCAAACCTGATCATCATAATCTGGCACAACTAAGGCCCGCTACTCTTGTGGGGGATCCTTACGAACGGTAACAACTAAACGAAATTCACACGATGAAAGTCTTATTTAGAGGCAAATCTTCTCTACCTAATGTGAACATGTTTGTGTAATTAGAGTTAGGTGTATGACGTGGAGTTAGCCGTAATGTAGATATGTTGGTGCCATTAGAGTTAAGCTTATGGGGTAGAGTTACGTCCCTTAGCAGTGCAAGAATCCCCTGTTCTTGTCACTGAAATAATCACTCGGCTATGGAACCATCGTTTTGAGAAGCGGAAATTCTCATGTCAGGTAAGGAAATAACGTTATAACAGAACATATATAGGTTGTTGAAGCATCTTTATTCATGAAAGTGACATCTATTTACCAATGGAAACCGGAATACCGAAGGCCTTATAGTAAAGCTGAAATAATAAGGATTTGTTTCTTTTAGAATTGACGTGTAAAACATACAAATTGTTGCACCTAATGTCGGTAAAACCTAGTGCCATAAATGATAAAAGATATAAACTGAGATACCAATAGGGTGAGTGAGTTTAGATTTACGCCGCACCCAGCCATATTCCAGCTATATGGCGGCAGTTTGTAAATTATCGAGTCTGGACCAGACAATCCAGTGATCAACAGCATGAGCATCGATCTGCGCAATTGGGAACCAAGTCATCGAGCCTGACCACCCGATCCCGTTAGTCGCCTTTTACGACAAGCTTTGGTTACTGAAGACCAATTCTAACCCGGACCTTCACGAGTCAGATACCAATAGGAGCAATCCTTATAACGCAGTGAAGTGAAGCAGTAGTTTTATGCAGCCATCTACACTATGTCTTCAATGTTGGAGGCTTCTGGTGTCCTCTGTCGTGATATAGCTGGAATATTACTGGAAATTGCGCAAAACCTCACTCACTCACAGGGGTAACATCTGTATCCATATATAATGTATGTATACTACCCATCAAAAGTTTAGACTCACTTAAAGCACTCATTATATGTTATGTATATATGCGGTTACATCAAAGAGGGGTAGTGGGGTAGCCTAGTGGTTAAAGCGTTGGCTCGTCACGCCGGATACCCAGGTTCGAATCTCCACATGGGTACAATTTGTGAAGCCCATTTCTCGTGTCCCCCGCCGTGATGTTGCTCGAATATTGCTTAAAGCGGCGTCAAACCAGTCAGTACATCAAAGATGAATTTCTCAACTAACTTAGGGGAACCATCTACAAACCTCATGCAGATGAACTGCACGAGGATCATGCATCGATTTTCTGAAAAGCATGTGCAAATATCGTGCATGTGAACAGTTGCGTTTTGGTGTTAAGAAGGGAGAAGTTTTGTTAAGAATTCGCCAATTTTCACTAAGTTTCATGATTTATTAAACTCGTTTTGGTGTTAAGAACGAAGAAGTTTTGTTAAGAATTCGCCAATTTTCACTACGTTTCATGATTTATTAAACTCATGAAAATAATTTTTGCAACGTTACGAATTTATTTTACAATACATCAGTTCACGTGTAAACAGTACCTTTAACATTATGGAATATTTTGCAAAATCTAGTTTAGAACAGTTGCCTGAGTTAAGTGGCTATATTTACACTAGTGAGTCTAAACTTGTGATCGGTTGTATATGTTCAACATGTTCTGCTACAACAGCTTTCAAGAGAGACAAGAAATATAATAATAATAATCATATAAACATGCATACATACTTCGCTATATTTCTTGATAAATTCTAACGCCGTGACCTTGCCATCGCCTGCAACAAGAATGTCAAGATTGTCAAGAAGAATGTGCACAGGAGTGGCTTGGTTGTCTTATCTGCACATTGCATTGCATTTGCCAGATAGAGATGTGTCGAAGCAAATCTGTATAATAATTGTTAATGTGAAATATCTGCAGAGCAAATGTGCTAGTGACCATACTCTGATGAAATCTGTGATCATCCGTTTTATTTACTTCCACTTTGCACGGAAGCCCACTGGTATTGCTTGAATACTTTTTCATATTGAAGGCGAGGACTTTTTCCAACTGAATGTTCCGAATTGACGCGTCTTTTGAAAAATATCCACTTTTCAACATGGACACGCGACTTTTCTACATTGACAGATGACTTATTAAACAAAATGAATTGTCTCAGAAAAAGCATGAAACAGGCGCAACTGATTGTTGAAAGAAAACTGCTACAAAATTCATGGCTGCAAGATGTTTTCTATTGAGGCTCGTAGTTTTAAATAATAATATCCTTTTTTGTGATTTAGTTGAAATTGTGTCTTGTCAAGCTTTGGTACAGGTTTACACGATGCAATATATTCTCGTACAAGATATTGTATACATGCCAAAGAAAATAAAAATTACTTCTGAATGATGCATACATACTATAAGCTATATTATGTTATAATATGATTGTTCAGGAATGGGGCATTGGGGTAGCCTAGTGGTTAAGGAGTTCGCTCGTAACGCTGAGGACCCGGGTTCGATTCCCCACATGGGTACAATGTGTGAAGCCCATTTCTGGTGTCCCCCGCCGTGATATTACTGGAATATTGCTAAAAGCGGAATAAAACAAAACTCACTCACTCGTTCAGAACAAAGCCGACATAACCCGGTACATAGGAAATGTTGTCTGACGACATGCCACATGCTGTTTCAAGACATACCATTGAGGTCGAAGCTGCTAAGGATGACCGGCAATTCTGAATCGTCAACAACGCCGTCACTGTTGGGGTCGACGAGGGCGAAGAAGGCAGCTGGTCCTTTCCCCATGCCTCCAAGTCTCTGGTATTCAGCCAAGGACACCTCGCCGTCCTCTGGAATGTCAGATTGTAATGTCGAAATCTCGATAACGGACCTACCTTTAGATAGACCTATGTGCAGTCAACCGATTAGAAACTGTGACCGCCCGAACTTCTCTGGGCTCATGACTAACTTAACGAGTAACAGCGCCACAAAACAAAAGAAAACCAAGAAAGAAAAAATAGAGAGTTACACCCCTTCATTCAACGAGTTGGCTCACGAATGATTTGAATAAAGGGGGCTAACTCTCGTGCATTCTTGTTGTGGCACACTGCCCATACACGGTCTTTGAAAGAAATGCACTGGTTCTCTTCTAAGAGCTTCAACCCGTGAACAGTCATCGGGAATGTCTACGTTTACTTCCCTATTGGTTTCTACGTACTGTTCAGATCGTCCTGGAGGACGATGGCCTTGAATTCCGGGAGGTCGAGAATCGTGTTATTGTTAGTGTCGATAGTTTGCTCGAAGATATCGGTTAAGTTTCTGCAAATGATAAAACCTTCTATATTGTCAACTTCAAACAATAAATTCTTTAATATGAGGGCACCACAGGTTACCTAGTCGTCTAAGGACAGAGAGAGTTATGCCCAGTAGGCAGTCAAAGAATCCGAAGACGTGGGTTTAAATCCCAGATTATTTCTGATGCTACCTGGTTCGTCTCCTCCAGATCCATTCTCGTAAGTTACAGCAACTTGTTCACTGCCGCACACTTTTATCACTTTATATAACTGATAAAACGGGTACTATAATACATATATCAATTACCAAAAAATACCTACAATTGAACTGATCTAACTGATGCTTATAATACTCACATCTATTATCAGGAGATGATACCAACAAACAGTGCACAGCGGCATATATCAAACTGTTGTTATTCTCAGTAATATATTGCGAAAATTTAATTGATGTCATATTTAAGAGATTTTACGTTTGATTTAACCCTTGTCCAGCACACAGACCGACGAACGCCAAGCAGATGAGAAGAAGCATTGTTGTTTCTGTGAAAAAATTACCATTGAAATATAAAAGCTACACAACATGTTAATAAATACTACAAAACATGCAGATAAAAACGACTAAACATGTACAAAATATAAGCTACAAAATGCTTTCCATAATGACACATTGTATGTATCAGATTACCTTTTTAAAATGATGCAAGTGCAAAATTTTAACCCCTTTTAAAATGATGCAAGTGAAAAATTTAAATTTACCACAAAATGAAAAGGTGAAATCAAGCATTATAGCCAAACATATTGCCAATTTCAATACAACCTTCCTTATACGTGAGCCGCCTCAGTGGTGTAGTGGTTAGAGCGTCCGCCTTGAGAGCGGAAGGTCGCGGGTTCGATACCCGACCGCGTCATACCAAAAGACGTTTAAATATGGTACTTGTTGGTCCCTGCCTGGGGCTCGGCATTAATTGGTACAACAAGGACTGGTCGGCTCGGAGTCAGTATAATGTGTCTGAGTGGGGTATTCATGCTTCACTGCGGCATGGTATCTCAGTGGGCTAGCACAATAAAAACAGCTTCAGTCTGGGCTAGTACAAGCAGCCGCACATACACATACACACGCATGCACATCGTCATATGAGCGAAATATTCTCAAGCACGACATTAAACCCAATTTCACCTCACCTCACCTCGCAGATAATGAAATAGCAAAAGAACCATTTTGGGATCCCAGGGAATATGAAATGATAATAAATATTACTGACCATGTTCTCCCGGCATACCATTAAATTAATAAAAAGGCACGACGGCAAGGGAATAAATACAAGTTGATGATTTTACACATGCACCATATTTTTAAATCCATTTGTCCGCTCGTCCTGAGCAAACCAACGTGAGTCGGAGAATTCTTACTGTTCAAATATCACAATGTCACGAAGAGATCTTCTCAAAAACCCAGTAGCTGAAATGGACTTCGTGCAATTCTTAGCTTAGCTTTTAAATATGTTGTGGTTTCACGTTCAGAATGTTCACGTGTTGAAAGAACAAACACTGATCCTAATTTTACGTAAAAACTTGTTCTGATAACCTTCATGAAGATTTTAAACAATTCTTAAATTTGCATTCTTGTGGGTCTGATAATGTCTATCACCCCTTGTTCCTTGGTGGGGCGGTGGGGTAGCCTAATGGTTAAAGCGTTGGCTCGTCACGCCGAAGACCCGGGTTCGAATCCCCACATGGGCACAATGTGTGAAGCCCATTTCTGGTGTCCCCCCGCCGTGATGTTGTTGGAATATTGCTAAAAGCGGCGTAAAACTAAACTCAGTCAGTCCCTGTTCCTTGGTGTACAAGCGAAGGTGTGATTTCTGATCGTGGTAAAAACGTAATCCGTCTGTCGGCTCTGACGATTATTTAAAAACAGCCGCAATATAGCTGGTATATTCCTGAGTGAGGCGTTAAACAGCAAACAAAACAATTCGTGGACCAGAATTTAATACGTGCAATTGTATGTCACATAAAATCTGGCACACACGTCGCACGCTGAGACCCAAACATTATACAGTACCGAATATTATAGTACTTGACATTCTGCAGGTTAGGAGTTGGTGAAAGATAACTGTTCCCGAAAATGCTTGAAAACAATTTGTTCCCAGGTGAATTCATGCATGCCAGATATATACCACAATAATAGAGGGTTGAAGCAATGTCTTACCTTTTGAATAACGATTTCACAAATGAAACAAGGCACAATGACTCAGAGCTTTTAAACATGTATCTGGTATCGAGATTTCGACATTACAATCTGACATTCCAGAGGACGGCGAGGTGTCCTTGGCTGAATACCTGCAGGGAATTGGAGGCATGGGGAAAGGACCAGCTGCCTTCTTCGCCCTCTGGTCATTATCAGATTGCAAGTTGTTCCTTCCCAAAGATGACGGCCACGTGACGACATGGTGCAAAAGTTGGTGCACCATGTGCAAAATTTTTCCATATTTCGTATCATATTCAAATTTCTATCACCACACGAACGAACAGTATTTCCCAAATGTATTAACGCTGGGAAAGAACGTTTAATAACAATAATAAGAAATGTTGGGGGTACAAGGATCAACTTCTTGTACAAAAAATGGTTTTGGAAGACGCTAAAACATATCACCGCAACCTCTCCTTGTGCTGGATTGACTACAAAAAGGCATACGACATTTTGAAGTCTCTTCGTGGTATTGACCTACCTGAGTGACTATTTGATTTACTCAAGTCTTTAATGAGTTGCTGGTCGACTCAACTTGAGATGTTCTTTAAAGGGCAGGTGCATACTTTGGGATCTATTCCAATCAGAACGGATATATTCCAGGGGCACTCCTTCAGTCCTTTGCTCAATAAAGAGGAGGGTTACCATCCCGTACCTCCTCAGCACAGATCCTAAACCCCGCTTACTCATCTCCTGTACATGGATGACATCAAGCTCCTTGCCAAAGGAGATACCAATTTGAATGCGCAGGTTCTCCTTGTCGAGTCCTTTTCTAATGATATTGGCAGGGCATTTGGACTCGACAAATGTAATACTCTTCATTTAAAACGTGGCTAGGTAATTAATGATGGATCGGTCAAGTTACAAGGGGGAGGTGTTATTGAGCATCCTGTGGAAGACCAAGCCTACACCTAGCTTAGGATGCAAGTTCGAGACAAGCTCCAGAATGCCCAGATTCAAGACAAACTTCGGGCCAAGTATAAAACTCGCTTTAAAAAATCTGGAGCTCAGAGCCAAATGCTTGAAACAAGGTCAAAGCCACCAATACTTTTGCTGTGTCAGTCCTTTCCTATTCCTTTGGAGTAGTTGATTGGACAAAACAAGATATCCAGAGTCTTGACCGCCTGACCAGAAGGATAATGTCTGACAACAGAGCCCAGCACCCACGTTCCTCGCTTAGTTGTTTATATATGCCAATCAATTCCAGAGGATGGGGTTTGGTTAAAGTGGAGGCTCTTCATGGTAGAATTTTATTGTGTTCTTTTGCACATATATATATATATATATATATATATATTGGATGATCCTCTGGTGATGCATGTTAAGACTCATTATGAAAACAAGGAATTCCATAGATGTTTTAAGCGTGCCAGGGTCATTGGACAAAATCTGAAATTTGAGGTTGAGTTTGTTGATGGCAATGTACTGCTGGACGGTACAGCAATGGGAGTAAACCAGGTGAAATCCTTCACCAAGTCTGCCCAGAGTCGGTCACTTGTGAAGAAACATTCTGAGAAACCATTGCATCATATGTACATGCAGTGTGTGGAAAAGAACACCAATCCAACCGACTCCTTCGCCTGGATGAAGTCTGCTGGTCTTAAATTTGAAACAGAGGGCTTTCTTTTTGTTCTCGGTGCCCTTGGTTTGGTACCTCCTGATCTCTTGGTGCAGATCAGGAGAGCGCCCGGGTTTGGTCAAGATATTATTTGTCCGGATCTGGGCCTTCCCCTGGGGCAAATCCCAGTACGATTGGTTTCAGTATCAGAGGAAGGCTGACTGGGCTGCGGAGTTGAAAGATGATTTGCCCCTTGTCTGTCGGTTACCAAGAAGTTACCCAGCTTCGGGGCCCAGTCCCAACTGGGTAATGTACGTTTAGTTCAGGGAATACAATTCACATACATTTATAATGCGCTGAACTCCACTCACTAGTTAAATGCTCATGGCTCTGTGATTTGTCATCGCTGTGGCGAGAGCCACGACAGCACAGAGCGTGACAAGATTTTTAAATGTGCTAACTGCCATGACCCACATGGTGCCTCATCAAAATCATGCCCTGTGTGGCAAAAGGAGTAAAAACTCATGAGATTAAAATGTGAGAAAAACATCTCTTACCTTGAGGCCAAGAAACTTTTTGTAAATGAGGTTTGTACTCCAGTGACATACTCTGCTGCAATCACTCGTTCTGTAGCAACGTCCTCTATTGCTTGTCAAACTGACTTGACTTGGGTCAGGTCAGTAAAACCTGTTTCTGCCGCTCTACAAAAGCCCCCAGCTACTGAACCTGTGTCCCCAATCACACAGTCTACTTCTGCTCCGCAGACTGCGAGTCAGCCTGAGATACAGTCCAAAACAGTTAACAAACAGCCAGCCTCAGCCAGTTCTTCAAAACCAAAAGGTAAAAAAATTAAACAGAAAAGAGACACATTCCGTCCCTTTACCTCTCGACATGGAGGTCACACTGTCCTCACAGGACAAGCGGAGGAATAGCCCATCTTCACATTCACGAGTGAGATCTCCAATGGAGCCACCATCAAGTGTCTAATATAATTCAGTGGAATTGCAGAGGACTGAAGAATAACTTCAATGAAATACAATTACTCATTCAAGATCTTCAACCGTCAGCATTATGTCTTCAAGAGACATACCTTAAAAATACTGATACCTTTAATTTAAGACGGTTTAGTGATTATCATTCCTTCTCCCCTCCGGGCGATAAAGCTACTGGAGGCGCCTCTATTTTGGTACACCAGAGTATCATTCACAGTCCTGTCACTTTAAATACGGACCTTCAAACTGTTGCTGTGCGTCTGACTCTGCACATTGCTCTGACATTGTGCAGCTTGTATATACCTCTTCAATTATTCAACAGTCAGATCTTCAAAATCTGTATGATCAACTTCCAAAGCCATGTCTCATCATGGGCGATTTTAACAGACACAACCCGCTTTGGGGAAGTGCCCATACTAATAACAAAGGTAAAATCCTTGAGGAATTCATTTCTGATAATAGGTTATGTATTTTAAATGACGATTCACCCACCTATTTACATCCAGCTACGGAACATATTCTTCCCTGGATCTATCACTTGCCGATTCCAACTTATATAATGAATTTGTATGGATGGTTCATGATAACCTATGTGGGAGTGATCACTTGCCCACCATTCTCAAAACAATTAGCCCTGGTGATAATCCACCTTCATCAAGAAGGAACATCGCCAGGGCTGACTGGTTATATGAGGCTTTGTGTGTTGAACACTGACGTATTTGCGAACAGCGAAGATCCTATACAATTGTTTTCTGATATTCTCAATGACATTGCTGATCAAACTATGCCCAAGTCCTCTGCAATTCCACATATTCGTAAACCATGGTTTACTAATGACTTTAAACAGGCCAGAAAAAGTAGGAAGGAAGCTGAAAAGTATTTCGCCGACATCCTACAGTCCACAATTTAGATAAAGTTCAAAATTTAAATGCGAAGGCTCGACGCACTTTTAAACAGACTAAGCGTCAGTCTTGGAGGAAATATGTTTCCAAAATTAATTCCCGTACACCTATGTCACAGGTGTGAAATATGATACAAAGAATTAAGGGCAAAGGTTCCAAATCTGCTGTTCACCATCTGAAGGATGGTGATAATGTATTAACTGATAAGTCTGATATTGCAAATAAGATCGTCAATTTACGTCCCAGAATTTCAACAATACCAGAAATGACAGGAGAAGAAGAGAATAAATTTTAACTCAGACAATGGCGAAGACTATAATGAATTATTTTCATTACATAAGCTACACACTGCACTTGAGCAAGATCATGATAAAGCAACAGGAGCTGATAACATACAATATCAGCTCTTGAAGCATTTACCGGAATCATGTTTGGATAACTTCTAAATATTTTGATTCAATATGGACTTCAGGAATTTCCCAACTTCCCATGAATGCCATTGTAGTCCCTATTCCAAAACCTGGACGGGATCATACTGATCCGTCTAATTACAGACCAATCTCTCGAGTTGTTTCTGTAAAACCATGGAAAGAATGGTGAATAATAGATTAACTTGGTATCTTGAAACCAATAACCTGATATCAAATATCCAATGTGGTTTCAGGAAGAATCGTAGTACCATTGATCATTTGGTACGATTAGAATCCTTTGTTAAAAATGCAATAGTAACTAAACAACATGCTGTATAAATTTTCTTTGATCTTGAGAAAGCTCTCATACGACCTGGAAGCTAGCATTTTGAAGGATTTACATGACTTTGGTTTGAGGGGGCTTTTACCTCTATTTATATCACAATTTTCAACAAATAGGCAATTTCAAGTCCGAGTGGGTTCAACCCTGTCTGACCATTATAATCAGGATCAGGGTGTCCCACAAGGCAGTATTTTGTCTGTCACTTTATTTACTATCAAGATCAACAGTTTATCCAAGATTGTAAACGATTCAATTGATGGATCACTTTTTGTGGATGATTTGAATATTTCTTGTCGTGGTAAAAATATGCATACTATTGCACGGCATTTGCAGTTGTGTTTAAATAAAAAAAAAGGTGCCTTGAAAGCTAATTGTCTACACTTTTGTAGAACATATAAGCCGCATAAAGACCCTGAACTATCTTTAAATGGCACTCCCATCAAAGTTGTAAAGGAGGCCAAGTTCTTGGGTCTAATTTTCGACTCCCATTTAACTTTTTTGCCGCATATTAAATCCCTTAAAGCCAAATGCCTGAAGGCCCTTGATTTGTTGAAAGTTGTTTCCAACTCAAAGAGGGAAGGGGATCAAGCTACCCTCCACCAATTATATCGATCATTGGTCCGCTCGATACTTGATTATGGCTCCATAGTATGTGGAGCCTGCAAAAGCAACCTAAAACTACTTGATTCTGTCCATCACCAAGGCCCAAGACTTTGTTTTGGGTCCTTTAGAACCTCTCCTGTTGACAGTCTCTACGTCGAGGCTGATGAGCCATCTCTTACCCAACGCCGTAGAAAATTGTCCTTGGAGTATATAACAAAACTTTATCCTAACGAGTCTAACCCTGCATTTAACTGTGTCTTTACTCCCTTTTATGAGGATTTGTACAACAAAAAGCC